CCCCTGAAAAACAACCCCACACCATAATCCCTCCTCCACCAAACTTTACACTTGGCACAATTCAATCAGGCAAGTACCGTTCACCCAGCAACCGCCAAACCCAGACACGTCCATCGGATTGCCAGACAGAGAAGCATGATTCATAACTCCCAAGAAAACATCTCTACTGCTCTAGAGTCCAGTGGTGGCTTGCTTTACACCACTGCATCCGATGCTTTGCATTGCTCTTGGTGATGTAAGGCTTGGATGCAGCTGCTCAGCCATGGAAATCCATGCCATGAAACTCCCTACGCACTGCTGTTGTGCTAATCTGAAGGCTACATGAAGTTCGGAGGTCTTTAGCTATTGACTCTGCAGACAGTTGGCAACTTCTGGCACATATCCTCTGTTCTCAGCTCCATAAGAGCTGGGGGAGGAGAAACAGCAGCACTTCTCAGTGAATAGCTGTGGAGTTGGGGTGTCTAAGCAGAAGTATGATCAAGTCTGTGCTCTCATGCCTAGTGTGGTTAGTTTTTAATAGGAAATCAGGAACACCAGGGATTTCACACAAAGTAAGCAATACAAAGAGAACAGGATACTTTTTCATACAAGTACATGGTACAGCAGGCACATATCAGGAATATGAAATGTTGGGTTTACATATCCTTAAAGTCCTACTTTCTCTCTCTCCATCACATCTATGTATGTTGATGTAAACACACTGCATTGCTACATTGTTTCTCCAGCAAACGTGAACAGTTAGTGGCATGTGAGTAATCATGTGGACCTCATATGTGCCTTACTTAACAGGTGCAGCCTAAAACAACATATTAGTCACAGATATGCTACAGAGCAATCCACCATGAACTAAAAGCCTTACTCACCATCCTTCTTAAAAGCCACATCTCTGCCTTTGTGTTTCCAGATGATAATTGATGGTATAGAACTTGATACATCACAAATGATAACAGCGTCCGTCCCCTCAGTAAACTCTTGTGGGGTGGGTGCATTCTTGAATGTCAATTTCTCTGTAAAAAATATAGAAGATGTAAAAAGTTCAGTGCAGCACTTTTAACTATGCATAATGAGGCTTGTAATTTAAATAAATGCCCACATTTTCTTTTAGAGGGAAGTTGTCACTCTTGATGCACTAAAGTTCATTAACCTCCCTAGCGGTATGATTCTTTCCGATTTTTTGTGCTGAAAGCGGTACCATTTTTTTGCATGGAAATATGTAGTTTTTTATTGTAGGCTGTAATTTTTAGGAATAACTCACTGAAATCTGTCCGAACAAGAGTCTAATAAACATCCCGGGTATGATAAAATTTGAAACACGAAATGATAAATTATAATTTAATAAATAATCATAAAAAAAATAATAATAATATAATAATAATAAATTGAATTCAATAATATAATCAAACCAAAAACACTGAAATTTGAAATACAGAGGCAAATTCGCACATCGCTGAGCAAAGTCGCAAAATCGTTTTCAGTGTCTGATGACGATTTTTCCCACGAACCATTATCACTCAATTCTGCAAGTGGTTCTGATTTACTATCGCTGTTCTAAAACCGCTTTTGACGCAAAGGGACACTTTTTGGACGCCATGGACTTTTCTAAGTTTCCAGGCAGAAAGAACATTCAAAATGCAGGCAGGGCGCAGACAAAGCAGTAGGGACAAAATATATGTGAAATGCATTGAAACAGCAATGACAGCAAAAATGACATTTTTTAAAAATTTCAAATTTGCCCTCCGGTTCCGGCGCCCGTACGTCCCGACGTCACAGGGACCGAGAACACGAAGCCGGATGCCGGCATCGGCCGGAGGAGATGGGCGGGGACACTGCAGGGGACACATCGCGGGAGCGAAGGACAAGGTAAGTGCTGCAGGGACCCCCAGAGCAACGCCGCATGGTAAGCCCGAGTGTAGCTCGGGGTTACCGCTTTTGGTATAGAAATTTTACCCCGAGCTACACTCGGGAATACCGCCAAGGAGGTTAAGGCTGAACTCCAGGCATTCATAAGTAATTATTGCAAACCATTAAATGTATTATTAAAGTACTTCTAAAGGCTGAAGGTTTTTGTAGAATGCATGAAGGTAAAAAAAAAAAAAATGTGTTCTGCTCCCCCCCATCTCGATACAACTATATGCAGATTTCCGTCTCCCTATTGGCTGAGACACAGCAGCAGGAGCCATTGGCTCCCACTGCTGGTCAATCACAGCCAATGAGGAGAGAGGGGGGATGCTGGGCTGAGCCATGGCTCAATGTGTCTTTTGGACACATAAAGCAGGGCTCAGGAGCGAGCACACACCAGTGCCCCCATAGCAAGCGGCTTGCTATTGGGGGCACTGGTCAAGGGGAAGGAGCCAGGAGCACTGGTGGAATACCCGAGAAGAGGAGGTTTGGGGCTGCTCTGTGCAAAACCAATGCACAGAGCAGGTAAGTATAACATGTTTGGTATTTAACATAACAAAACAAAAACTTTAGTAACTTTAGCAGACCATAGAAGCACCTGATTTTGATTCGCTATTAACTCACTGTGCTACCTTGTACAGCAGTACTTAGATTGGGTGATGTAGGATACGAATTGTGAGCTAATTAGGGTCATGCTAACAGAAGAAGAATGAACACAGGGATGAGATAATTAAATCTGCTGCTTCTCCTTTACCATCCAATCACAGCTGGGGGCTACAAGGGTGGCATGGCTTATTTGCTTAACCGGAGTAGAGAAAAGTGATCACCATTGCATTTTCAGTATGTATGCATTTTGTGTTACTGTGATATTTGCCTGTCACATTTTTACTTGTCCTTTTATATTTCCATGTTGGTATTTCTGTACTGGAGCTAAGAATACAATCATCACACAGCAATCAGCTAAACAGTCCAAAAGGTAATTACAGTTCACTAGTGCTCGTCAGTCATGTAATTTGCCAAGATGCAATATGTATTTAATTAACACTAGTCTATTGACATGGCTTTGCAGTTGTTGTTGACCTTTGTTATACAGTGAATGAGTGGCAGGCAATCAGAACAAATTTAAGACATGAGTGGGCCAGGGGCAAAGATAATTCTAGTGTGGCACTGCGACCTTTCTAAAAGCAACAAAGATTTGGAAACATCACAGATTTTTACCCATTTTAGTTATCAAACAGGGCTAAGCAGAATGGGGTTAAAAAAAAAATAAAATATATATATATATATATATATATATATATATATATACATACATACATACAGCATTATATGTATATTGTGGCAGTGCGGTATCCTGCCACGGTGGAAATCATGATGGAGACCCAGGATTCTCAACCATACAGGTTGAGGGGCTCCAGGCAGTTCTCAAAATGCAGAGGAAACTGGTTTATAAGTTTCCTCTTTGGTTTGTAAAGCCTGTTTTGGGACCTGTAGCCTGGAGATTTCTAAGAGATTTGGGAAGGATGAAATCTCCAATCCTGGGCCCATATTTTGAGAGCAGCCAGCGTGCTGATTGCACAGGTGTGTGCAGGCCTTTTTGTTGAGGCCAGGCCATGATTCTGAGCTCCACCCCGGCAGACAGGAGTCACGAGGGCTCCACCCTGGCATACAGGAGTCAGGAGGGCTCCACCCTGGCAGACAGGAGTCAGGAGGGCTCCACCCCGGCAGACAGGGGTGTCACTGTCTTGGAGTCCAGATGGGCTTCACCTAGTGGAGGTGGAAGCCAGACAAGCTGTGTGCTATTGGCCAGCTGTGTGCGGGAGAGCCATAATTTGGATAGAGTCTGCAGGAGACAGACGGAAATCGGTGTACCAGCCAGAAGGCTGAATATCATTTGAATTGGTTTAATGTGGATACCCCTGCGGGGAAGATTGATGGAACTTTTCCTTTAAATAAAATTGGGCAAAAGGCCCTTAAAAAGAAACGAGTTGCTGTGTGCTTTGAAGAAGCTCTACCATTTAGAAGCGAGTTCCCACAATATATATATATATATATATATATATATGTATATATATACACGTTATAGAGAGAGATGGGGAGAGAAGGAGAGAGAGAGAGAAGCAGGCACACACATAGTATCGGTAAACTCGGGTGCCAGTCATGCAGTTAGTTGCATGTGTATATCACATTGTAACAAAGTTATATCAACTGACAATAAACTAAATGATAATGCTTTTATTTAAAACAGAATTTCTGGCTTTACATACCACAAGGAGCTAATATACTGCATAGGCTCCCCCTCCCCCCAGCTTCCTCTTTACTGGCTGTAATTGACAGCAGCAGGAGCCAATGGCTTCCATTTTTGTCTCTGAGCAAATCAGGAGGGAGAAAGTCAAGAGATCCTCTCTCTGCTCATCACTGGATCAAGATCAAGCTCAGGTAAGTCTACAGAAGAGGAGGGGAGAGGGGGGGGGGATCTATATACAACATTTTTTTTTTTGTACCTTAATGCAGAGAATTCATTAAGGTAAAAAACTGCCTTTAGAACCAGTTCTATAAAAGTATAAAAGAAAAAGATCATCTACTGTAGGTCATCCTAGATTGTAAGCTCCAAGGAGCAGGGCCCTTGAACCCCTTGTGTATTGTATTGTTACTGTACTTTCTCGTGTCGTGTACTGTCTCCCATTATAATGTACAGCGCTGAGCAAACTGTTAGCGCTTTATAAATACTGTATAATAATAATAATAATAATCTAGGCACATTCACAAGCCTACATTTGCAGTATTTGCTGTCCATTAACTGGTGCTGAACCTTAACATTTATAGAAGTCATATCATTTCTCAGCAGCAAATGCAAGGAGTGAATGCTGGCATATGTGCATGAGAAAAATAAACAGAGTAGTAAACGTCTGGTGAACGTACATAGTAATGATTGAGTGGGGCAACTCCTCCATAGTAATCAATAGAGAAACACTGAAAAAAAAAACAACAATTCCCTCTTCTAAAATTGGTGAATACACAAAAAGAGAGCAGGGTACAAACCTTCCCATAGAAACACTATAGGACTGTAAAACTGGGCTATAAAATACAGTAAATGCTGAGAACACATAAAAAATGCTAAATTAAGATGCGATGAACACATGACCCAGTCTGGCAAATGAGGGGTGAATCTGGTTAGTAACTGCACTTTATAGTTATAGAAGCAAATCCTAGCAGTGAATAGTCAGCAGGGGTGGACTGACCATTTGGAAACTCGGGCACTGCCCGAGGGCCCGGGGTCAGGAGATGCCCCTGGTACCTTTTTCATAGGCTTTTTTTGAGTTTGGGCAAGGAAACAGGGGCCCCATGATCCCCTATTGCCCGGGGGCCCCATGAGTTGTCAGTCCGCCCCTGATAGTCAGTGAATGATTAGTGAAGCTGCTCCTATGATGTGCTCCAAAATATGTTCTGGAGGGCGTAAACTGGTTAAACGAATACTAGAGCAAGATAAATACTTGTGAAAAGATTGTACATCCTTATAATAGTAGCTAACAGATCAGTCTATGATTAATTATTTGAAGAGCTTACGATAAATCTGAAGTTTAACAGTGCTTTCTGCCCGTCCTTCTGGACCAGTAGCGATACATTTGTAGGTCCCGGCATCTTGAATGCTGGCATTGTATATAGTAAGAGTGGATGAATAGTCATCACTTTTCACTACTGAGATCTGCTGTTGGCTGGTCAGCTTTTCTCCGGAAGGTGATTCCCAGTAGATTTCAGAAGCCTCACCAGTTACTAAAATACCACAGAGAGAAGGATACAAGGAGAAAACAATTAGCGGCTTTACTGATATTGTAAATACAGGTTAACTGCAATTTATTGCATAGAGATTTCATGTCAATGTGAAAACAAGAAATAGTAACAGAATGGAATGCTACATTTTGCCTGATATAAACTAGAATCAAGGGTTTGAAAGGAAAGAGATTCAGAGATTAAAAATGGAAAAAAAGAAAATGCCTTTGATATCTAAATGCTGTAATGCTTTAATGCAAGCAATAAGTAGATCTATACCTTTCAAGTTAATGGAAAATCTCTCACAATCTCTGCACACGCAGATCTAGCTGATGGTGGAGGAGGTTTGTGAAAGAATTTCCAATCACCTGCTGCCCACATTGTTTTTTTTTTTTCCGTTTTGTAAGTTATTTCCTCTCCACTGGAATGGGGGTTAAAAATTAACAAATAAAATTTAGGAAAAATAGCAATTCTCCCTTGTGATAAATTCTCAGACATGACTTACTATATATGTCTAGAGCTAATCCCATAGGAGCTGCAGGAGTACTGTCCAAATCTTCCCCACTTACTCTGCCCTGCAGCCAGGCACATAGGCTCACTCACACATTTCTCCAATAACCAGTCTAGGGGTGTTGTTTTTGTTGTTTTTGTTTTTTTGAAGAATTGGGATAGGTATGAGGTAGATGAGTAGAATACTCCAAGATAGGAACTATGTACAATGAGGACTTTGTCTAACCTTCAGGGCAAGCTATATCAAAGTTCCTGCTTGAATCAAACAGTGGAATTTAGCTTAAGGCAGGCACAACAAGTAGCAGCAGTAACAGCAGTGACTTCTTTAGAGCTCCAGAGCAGTGTTCCTTTAACCACTTCAAATCCGGACACTTTCACCCCCTTCCTGTCCAGGTCAATTTTCAGCTTTCAGTGCTATCACATTTTGAATGACAGTTCTGCGGTCATGCAACACAGTACCCATATGAATTTTTTAGCATTTTTTTTGAGACAGATAAAACTTTATTTTGGTGGTATTTATTCACCACTGGGATTTTTTTTTTGCTATATAAATGAAATAGTCCAAAAATTAAAAAAAAGGGGTTTTCTTATAACATTTTGCAAAAAAATAATCTTTCTTCATAAAAATCTTGGCCAAAATATATTCAGTTATCTTTTTTAGAAAAAAAAATAACCCAAATTAGTTTATAACCAAAAATTATAATTTTTCTTTTTTTTTTTCAATTTTTCTTTTATTTTTTATATTATTATTTATGTTTTTGTTTTGTTTTTTAACATACTGTCACCCTAGCAGTACCGTGTCACCATAGTGACACCGTATTACTTGTGGGGGTGATGAAGATTTTGTTGTTGTTTTTTTTTTTTTTTTTTTTTACACTGATTGCTTTTATACCCATAAAGGCTGTAAAAACAATAATTTCTCCTCTCTGGCTGCATTCTTTCAGCCATTGAGAAATACTGTGTGAGATGTGTTTGGTCACAGCTTTTCACATGGTACAAGGCTGTTGTGAATAGCCTTGTACCATGTGATCTCTGTGATCATTCACACATTTCACACGTAGTAAGCAATGATGTCAGAAGGGACATCTTGCTTACTACAATTCATGTGATCACTGATTGGCCAATCAGTGATCACATGATCGGGGCCTCACACAGAGGTCCCGTACAGCGATCGGTGTTCCTCTGTGTCCTCCGGACACAGTGGGCACTGGATAGCGGTGCTGTGCACTCCCAGGGAGCGCGCACAAGCAGGGAAGTGGGGAGGACATTTATAAATGGCCACCTGACCCTGCACTGCTCCCGTCCGGCCGTTTATATACATAGGCCAGACGTGAAGTGGTTAAATAGTGGTGGACAGATGGACAAAGCTCTCCGGAACACAAGTATTTCCTTTGCTAAACCCGCAGCTGACTTCCTAGCACCAGAGGTGGTTAAACAGCAGACAGTCTCTAGGATCCTTAGGGATGGCTATACTCACAAGGCCCAAAAGCACCTAGCTAGCCGTGACCTACCAGATTAGATCTTCAGTAGACAGCCCCTCCGTCAGCATAGCTGAACCCATGTCTCAGCAATTCAGGCCCTCAGGTAGCACAACTGAGGCCTACGGCAGCAGCTGTCTGGGAGGGCAACGTGCCCTCTCCCAGGCTTGGGCAATCCTAGTCAGGAAAGAGCCCCATGTACTCAATGAATATATAAAGTTACCCAGCATGCCTTGGAGCCACTCTCTGTGGGATAGGCTGAGGCTGTATCAATATTAATGCTGCAATCTGCAGAACTCTATAACTATTATCCAGAAACTTTGGCAGTCTCCTGGATACAGAGAAAGCTAGGCAGACTAACAGCACCTGAGCACACAGAGCAGACCTCCTAAATGATCACAGCTCACCCAGTACAGTGAGCTAACTATACTTTTACCTAACAATAATTACAGCCACTCTGCCTACAGAGTGACAACTAAATTCACCTATCAAAAACATAACTAATCCTATCTATCTAATCATAGCTCCTACCTAGGAGGGTGCTACACATAACAGGAGGGGTAGGCAAACACTCTCCCTCTTTACATGTACATGATTCTGTTATGACTTATCTCATGGGTTTAATCGATTTTGAAGACACGTACCTTGACATAAGAAGAATTTTAGACTCCTCCAGGCCTATTTCTCCTTGATCAGGAACTATTGTAACTTCTAGAGCTGCTGAAATAGAAAACATGAAAGATATTAGTTTTTATAAACCTTTTATAAACTTTTTTCAGACAGCCTCATCAAAATACTAAATTTATTGAATAAAATGAAAGTATAAATTTGCTTTTGACTCAGTTCAGATACGTAATGTTGGATTCACGCTATTGGGATGCATGAGTCTGAACATAAGCTCGAAAGAGCAGGGCCCTCGAACCCCTCGTGTACTGTTTTGTTACTGTATTGTCTCATGTTCTGTCCCCCACTAAACTGTACAGCGCTGAGCAAACCTTTTGGCGCTATATAAATACTGTATAATAATAATAATAATAATAACATGTGTCTAAACCAGCACAGTTGCTAAATGGTTAGCACTTTCGCCTGCTGGCACAAGGGTCGCTGGTTTGAATCCCAGCCATGGCACCACCTGCCTGGAGTTTGCATGTTCTCCCTGTGCCTACATGGGTTTCCTATGGGTACTACAGTTTTCTCCCACACTCCAAAGACATGCTGATGGGTTGATTGGATCCAGGGGCGGACTGACCATTTGGAAACTCATGCACTGCCCGTGGGCCCGGGGGGTCAGTAGGGGGCCCCATGAGATGCCCCTGGTACCTTTTTCATAGGCTTAGTTGAGTTTGGGCAAGGACACAGGGGCCCCATGATGCCCTATTGCCCGGGGGCCCCATGAGTTTTCAGTCCGCCCCTGATTGGATCCTGTTTAAATTGGCACTAGTATGAGAATGTGAGTTAGGAACCTTAGATTGCAAACTCCTTGACGGTTAGGGACTGAATGTACAATATATATGTGTAAAGTGCTGCGCAAATTGACGGCGCTATATAAGTACATGTAATAGGTAAAAAAGTGCATGAACAATAGTGTGTTAGCATATGTTGTGGTGTGCTATTAAGAATGAATGGCATTAAGATGCATCAACAAACATAACACTTGTTGCACTTTGCAGTATAGGGCTAATGCATGTGCAGGGGCAGAGTGAACCCAGCTTACATGGATAGTTTTCCTTTGTTCAACCAGTGGATCGAATCGAATGAAACAGAAAACTGGCAGATTCCCGCATCTACACAGCTCATGCGGATGCTGAAAACTTCCCCTTGGTTCACTATTGTATTCTGATTCCCCCCCCATCAGAATACACTGAGCAGTGCTGCAGCCATTGGCCGCATATGCTGATCAAATGCTGGTTTTCCAGCAAGATCATTTGATAGAAGTCAGTCTAATGGTCTAACTGTTGAACAGAGAGAGATACAGATGCATCGACATTTGGCTGGTTCCTGCAGACTAATTTTGAGCTAGAGCTAAGCTATACCGGTGATTTTAATATTATTTTATAGTATTTTATTTTTTAATAAACGACTCACTTACAGGAAGTCACGTTATTAGACTAGAGCTATACATTAGGCTAGAACTATGAAAGAGACTTATATTACTTTAATTGGGCTTCCAAATTGCTTATGAATAATTACTAGGAGTAGTAATTGATCGTTCTCATATTTTCCACATTGATGTCTACAGTATGGGAAAAGCATTTACATCTATAACTATAGACAGCAAACAATTTTCCTAAATGTACTATTGATGCCTCTTAGCTATAAAGTGAACATGATATAAACCTGTGTAATTCAAACTGAGCAAGTGATGAAATAATGCCTAAAGCAGAATGAGATCTGCATATCAGAGTGATCAATAGATCCAGACATATGGGCCAATGTCTACCAAAAAAAATCTTTGGGTACTTTTATTTTTGGTTAATTATTTAGTTAGAAGATTCACTTTAGACACACAAATAATCTGTTGTGTATAATGGTCAGGTTG